TTTCCGTCGTTTCGTTGAGGTTCAGTGACGGAAATCTGCGAGCGAAACCTCACGAGAGAACCTTTTAATTAGAGCTACCGAAGATTTCTGGAATCGCGTTGTGTGTCGACAAATATATGAGTGAATATAAGAAGCGTGCTGCTTGTGTGATGTTGAGACGGTCGTGTGTTCCATCGATTCCGTGAAGGACTCCGCGCATCTTGCATAAATGGTACCTATATAGTTGCAATCACATATCCTGTTGGCAACTGATGCGACATTGCTGAAATATATGAACAGGAAGTTCCCATGCTGATGTATAAACGCTCTCAGCAGATGAAGTTGCTCAGCACCGGATTCATACCGGTCATCTGGAACGGTGCGGGACGCAGTTATTCGCGTGCTTGCGGCTCGTGGAAAAAGTTGCCCGGCTGGAGAAAGTGGAAACTCTTGGACGAAAAGCCGGCTACTGCTGAAGGTGTGAATACTTACCATGTCCATGTATTTGTGTATTCTGTGTGTGTGTTTGTGTCTCTCTGATAAGAGCTTCTATCTCGTCTATATCGTCGTTCCCCCGCGTCGGCTATTTATGACATACCCGCACCTTCTTGCGTTCATGTCCCCTATAGTTGTTCGTGTTGCTTGTTGGGGATTTTCCATTATCTCGGGCGCATCATCCTTCGAAGTTTAAACGCAGTGACTTTCGTTCTTCCATCGGGGATTCGTGTATAGAGGCCTGTCGCCGAGCGAGTACTGTATATATGAGCTTCGTTATTGGACTGCAGCAGTTAAAGCTTCCGCGGTCACACCCTTATTTGAAGTGTGATGCAGTGACTTTCGTTCTTCCATCGGGAATTCGTTTGGATACAGGCCTGTCCGTTAAATACAGGCACTATTATTTCAGTATTACCTCGAGAAGGTATATAGAGCAAGTTTTCCGCGAGCTCCCATTCCTGCTCCATATTGTGCTTCCGCCTGGTAATGAGCGGTTTTATCCCAATAAGGAAGTGACTCTCGGATGACCTATTCACCCATTGTTTTTTCCAGACATTGTCCTCCCAGAACGAAGATTTTCACATCATCCTTCCAGAATAAAGGGATTGGTGCAATTAATGGAATGCATGGTTGCAGCTACAGTACTTGTTTTCCAGAAAATCACTCAGTGTTCTGAACAATAATCAAACATTTGAGATTGCCTATAAAAAGCAAGATCTAATTGGTTGTTGGCAAGTCTGATGTGAAAAATTTTTTCCAGGCATTAATTTTGAAAGTCATTTTAACACATTTTTCAGTATCTTACAAACTTTCTCTGAAGTCCCCCAAAATTTGTTGCAATCAGCAATACTGCATTCTGCTGCATATGCACTTACTTTTCTGTCCATGCTGCTGACCTCTGCAAGAATTAACACTACCATTTGCCCAAGAAGGAATAAGTCATGAGTCACTCAGTGGATCCAACAAAATTTTTGGCAAGTCTGTTTTAAACATTGTTTCCTGTCAATAATTTTTAAAATCTTGGTATAATAAATTATTCAGTTTACAGTATAACAAACTATTTCTGACATTTTTAAAAGTTTGTTTTTATGATATATTGCTGCTTTCTAGTGCATATTATTGTGAGACCCTAAGATTTTGAAGTAATTGGTACATCAAGATTGTCCCTGAGTTGAAATTTCCCTAAGTTGAGTCTAATTTTCCTTCAGACTTACATTATACAATTTTTAATTGGCAATAAGGACATTGAATACGTACAAAATATTTATCAGAAATCCATGAAAAAAATTTTCTCCCAATTGAAACTGATTCAATCAATATCTTTCAATGCAATAAGGACATTTGAAGCATTGAATACTGATACCTCTGTACAGTGCATTGAAATGTTGGCATTCTCTGTAAAAATAACATTCAAGTCACAAGGAGAGAAGGAAGTCTATGCTGGAGGTAATTTTTTTTGAGTTAGCTAAATGTATGGTGAATTGATGAGAGAAATGACAAAGAACTTTTCTTACATAGAATTTAGGGGGGAAATATCTGTTCCTTAATTGTAATTTGACCTGAAATTTATTTGCAATTTTAGCACGCAATGTCCATGTATGTTGCAGTCAGTGTCTGCATTTTGGGCCTTTTGTATGCATAAAAAATAACCTTTTATTCGCACGGATACAGTTTAATAACAGGTGTACAGTTCCACAGACGTACACCCCCGGAGTGACAAGAAAGTACAGTGTGTGACGACTGGAGACGTTTTTACTTGTGGAGGTGCAGCACTGATGCCCAAAAAGGAATAATTTTCAAGTGGGTCAGTGGATCCAACAACCATGCTAATAGGCAAACCAGCCTTGATCCCAGTTATTATTGTGCCAACATTACCTCTCATGTCTGTGTGTATGTGTGTTCTGAAATGCTGGGGGTGAAACGACCTTACAGCATATTAGCCAGCTTCTCCCTTCCTTCCTTCCTTCCTTCCTTCATTCGTTCCTTTCGTCTCAGCTGTGCTGTTGTACTGCTGTACACCCATGATGATGGTGTGCCTTTGGGAGCTGTAGTATATATAAAGTGAGAGTGTGGCTGCCATCATTGCCCAACGGAGCGCGCGGGTCTCCCTCGGCATCATATATCCTAGCTGGCTGGTTCCTTGCGCAATGTATGAAGCCACAACCGCGCGGTTCTCCTTTCTGCTCACTTTTTTTTTCCTCCCGCTTTCTTCTTTGACCGACTCTTGGATGAACCTCTATGTACGTGTGGGATGACTGAGCAGTATGACCAAGGCGCGAGTCCGCAGCTGCTGCTGCTGTGAAGTTAGGCAGTTGCCTGTGGAGAAGAATGATGAGTGAACCAGGCATATGTGCTCTGTGAATATATATATATACAGTACAGTGGAAGCTGTGAAAAGTTGAATTTCAAGGGACCAGCAAAAAAAAAAACAAATTTGACTTGTAGAGGCTTTGAGTTGGAAAGGTTTTGAGTTGAGGAAATGCTCATTTTTGTTATGGGAGACAAAAGAAGAATTGCATGGGATTGTAAATGGTGATGATCATCTGAACCTTAAATTGCTTCTTGAATCAGTTGACAGGATGCTGAACTTGGAGGCAAGGGGTTTATTTGCCCAATTAGTCCTACACTTCCTTTCAAAACACATAGCGTTACAATTGTTTTTTGCTTTCCCTGTGTCAAGAAATTAATGTCCAAGAGTCCTCAGAAAATTCCAGTTGTGGAGGTTTTAGAGGAAAAGCCTTCAAATGAGAGAGCTTTTTGATGCATTGCTTCTATTAATGGAATTTGAAAGGGTACTTGAAAAAAAAAATTGACTTGGGAGGTAATGAACTTACAGGAGGTTAGAGTTGAAGTTCAACTGTACAGTACTAAACATTGTCATATACTGCAACTTTGGTGTATCTGTAAAGAGTCTCCCAGTAACTGTGAAACCTGGATCTAATATTGTGCCATTGTTTGTTCTACTGGCACATTGTGTGATAGCATTAAGTGAGAGGGTTGTACTGAAGTGGGGGAACTGTATCAGATAAAATTTATGGTGTGGGCTTCTACTGTATAGGTGGAATAAGGCTGGTTGTGCAACATTTTCAGTATAAACCTGGCAGTTTTCCTGAAAAAACCTTAATTCATTTGATCTTGAGTATAACTGCTGTACCCCAATCTGTGCACTAAAATTCAGACAAACCATAATCTAGTGTCATCATTTGCCCTGGCATATTGTGTGGCACTAAGTGGGAGGAAGGCACTGAAGCTGGTGAACAGTTTCACAGGAAAATTTAGTCAAGGGCTTCTACTACATGGATTAAATAGGCTAGTTTTGCAGACTTTTCAGTATCAATCAAATGCTATCCCTGGAAAAAGACCTTGATTTTCCCGATTTTGAATATTTTTATACAATAAAGAAATATTTCTGGCACAGAATGGGGGTTTCCCTTGAGAACACAATGGAGCAGGGATTTATTCCTGGGAAATTTGTGGCACTATGCAAGGGTGGCATTGAATCCAGGGTTGACTACACTCCAATCTGTGCTATAAAATACAGTTGAACCCCAATTTAGTGTCCTCATTTGTCCTGGCACATTTTTTGACAATAAATTAGCCAGTATTGTACAAGAGGAACATTTATTCAAGGACTTCTCTAATAGGTAAAAGATACATGTTTGCAGAATTGCTAGGGCATTATTGGGACTCTTTTGTAAGAGTGAAACCCACAGGAAATACTTTGTGGCTCAAATGAACTGCTTTTAGTGCATTCCAATTTATGTGATAGTACAGAATATATGGAGCTTTTGCATATATTGAGTCAAGTGAAAGAGTGGAGCCATTTCTTGCAAGTTGGTTTCAATATTTTAATGAAAGCATACAATCCCAAGATCAAGTAGGGTGATTTTTTATCTTTCTGAAGTTACTATCCCAGTTATCAACATATTCTTTGCTGTAGTGGAAGGAATTCAAATAATGCCTTTTGATTGTATGTAAGTCCAGAAATATAATTTGAAAAAGGATTTCAAGCATAGGCATTATATATTCTCAGTAATAACCTAATGATATCCCTAGAAATTTGAGATATCCTTTCTTTGAAGTCTGAAATGTACAGTACATGTGCTCAGATTGTAATGTATGAGATAATGATGCTGTGTACAAGTGTATTGATGACCCAGATTATGATCTTGCTTGTGTTGCACAAATGTTGAATTTGTTATTGTATACTGGTTTCATGCTGTTGGTATTCACAACTGAAGTTTGGAATGCAAGTTGCACTGCTTGGAATTTTATTTGCAATTCAATTGTCCATGAGATCAGAAAATTCAGGTGCTTTGTGAGGAATAGGATTCTCCACTGAAGAACTTGATTAAAACATGTACTGTATAAGGAAATTATTTCACTGCCTTCATGGAAATTTACATTTTTGGCCCAATGTTTGAGGAAGTTTGGCATTCTCAGTAATGAAGACACTTCAGTACAATCTTGTTGCTATGCACTTGTAGGTAGGTACCTGAGTAAAAATTGATAATAAAAATGTCTTGCTTTGAGATTTCTTTCAATACATTTTATAGTGAAATGTTGTGTGACATATGTATTAAATACTGTGTAGTGCTTGTACAGTTGAACCTTGATAACTCAAGCCTCTCAATGTCAAATACCCCCTAAGTCAATTTTTGCAGGTCCCCTCAGAAAGAATACATAAAAAGCCTTCCTAAGCCAAAGGCTTTTCCCCTCAAACCTCTATAAGTCAAATTTTCTTCTGCCTGTTGGCTATTATTTTCTTGACACAAGCAAGAAAAAGCTATTAAAATAGAAATTGATATACTGAAAGGAAGTAAAAGACTTGATTAGCAAACAAACCCCTACATCCAAGTTCTGCATCCTTTAAACTCATTTGAAGCAATTTATGCCCCAGAATATCACCATTTACAATTTTCGGCAATTTTTCTACATTACCCAGAGAAAAAGGGCTTTGTATTTTTGCTCAAAACTGGTTTTTTCTTTGAAATAGAAGAATATTTTTCCAAGGTACTTTTCATCTGGAAGAGAAACATACCTTCTCAAATGGAGTGTAAGCATTTTCAAAAATTATGTAACACTGTGTATTTTCTTGGGTGCTAAATTTTTGCCATGGAAACCTTTGCTGCAATGTGCTTTAACCATGTGGTAATGCTGCCAAATTTACAATTTCTTAAATTTTCAGGCAATTATCAAATAATCTGTATTGTTCATGCACCAAAACAGGGCCAAGCATTTCTTGTTGTTGTCTGATATTAAATAAACAATTCCAGATCAAATATATATAAAAGATATACTTTATTCACAACCAAATTTGTTCAAGACAAATATAACAAAAACAGACAAGTCACTTCCTCAAAGTAAGGTGCAATTTAAAAAGAGGTCTTGGAAACAAACCCGAGTATTTCCTGGATAACATTGTGCTTCAGTAAGATTATGTCTGAAAATGAGTTTTAGCAAATAAGATTTTTATAACATTGGTCATGTGGAGCAACTGATGGACCCCAGAAAAGATTCTCATAATGAAGAATTATGAGTATTTTCATGTTTCAATGTTTGTTAAGATATTGTGTTGAGTGACTGTACCTTGCACTGTCACTGATGTAGAGGAGAATGCTGTGTTCTTTTTTATTCTTCAGCTGTGTGACATCAATAATGCGTGATGGCAGTGAAAAAGATGTAAAAGTCTTAAATTTTCAAATAAAACAGACCAAATGATGAGCATCAATGGGGTGTAAGGAATGTGTTGGGTTTATCATTCATGCAGATTTTGAGGAGAAATACTGTATGTGTTTCAGCATTGCTTATTAAGCTGTTTAAAATTTTCTGAATTATTTTTTAAATGATATTTTTGCATCATAACTTATCAAGAATGCAATTATTTTGTAAACATTTTGCATCAAGATGTTAAGGTCATGCTTGAAAGGGCACAACATGTATACCTTAATTTATGTTGATATGGTAGTTTCAAATTTAATTCCTTGTGAACCATGATGTATCATACTGGTATGAAAGTTTGTGCTTCTTTCTGCTGTCAATCGCAGCATTGTCCTGGAAATACAGCAAAATCTTGTTACTACAAATTTCATTACAACACATTTTTCAGTATAATGAACTTATTCTTAAGTCCTGGCAGAAAGCCCATTTTCAACTGCTCTAATACAGTATATACTGTTCTTGAAAATCCTTTGTGATTTAATCCTGTGCATCTTAGGTAAAAATGTTTAGAGTGTTACGGTATTTAGATTTTTATTGAAACCTGCATCAATCGAATTCAACATTTCTGATTTTTTACCATTGGTTTGGACATTTATTTATTTTTGCGCTATCCTTGGGTTTTTGTTCGAATCATTGATTCGATCCTCATATATTTCGCTTCAGCGGATTCCAAAAATGCTTTTGTCATCATTCATGAGTGATATTCCGCGATTATGTCATTTTTCTTTCATATATGTTTTTTTCTATTTGGGAATTTTTTCATTATCTTTATATAGGCAGCTTAATTAGGATGTCAAGCAGTCAAAATGTCCGCCGTGGAAGAGAGGAGCCAGAATCGCGGCTCCTGTCGAAAATCCATCTGCCGATGCCAAAAGGTTAGTTTTGAATGAACACAGAAATTTATAATGCAGTTGAACCTGGATAACTGGGACCTCCCAAGTGGACCCTCATTTAATAAGCATAGTTCAAGACACAAGATTGTTTACCAAAACGTTTCTTGACTGAAATTGATTTTTTTGATTGACTTCCATCCTGGAGAAAAAATAAATCTATTCCTTTATAGCACCCAAAATACAGTTGACAATTTATGGAAAAATGTTTAGGACAATTATCTTGATTGATTGACTGATAAACAAGCTTTATTTTCTGCTTTTTCAGCATTCACAAGGTTCATATAATGTTTTCACATCCAAACCACCCCCTTCCCCACCCACATCCATCTTAGGACATTCCATCACATCAAGATGTAAAGCAGAGAAATAAGGTATATTGTAAATTAAAAGAAAATACATATACATCCCAGAATTTACAAATGCTCAACTGACCTAAATGCACCAACTTTTTCTCCCCCCTCCCTCCCCCAGATAACAGAAAGAAAATATCTGTTAAAAATTTACAGCAAATGGCAATTACTGAACAATTATCTCATCAGAATGAGATCAGACTGTGTGTGTTAACTAGGTTTTGTAGGGTTGGATGGAAGTATGATTGATGAAAACAGCACTCAAAAAGCCTTAAATCCAGATGATCATTCATGTATGAGTAGTATAACTGTCACCAGAAAATGAAATGTTAATTTTAAAATGATGATTGAGAGAAAATGATGGATTGAATGAGAGAAAAGTCTTCAGATTTTGAAAGAAAAATAAAGTGATTAGGGCTAAAATGTTTGCTGAAAATGTGTGTCCAACAGCATTTCCTCAATTATTCCCATTGCATTAAAAAAAGCTAACCACAATAAAATGTACTTTAAATTAATCTCCTTTGCAACTTAGGATACATAATTTCAAGCCAGGATTTTGTGAACCAATCAAAGTTGCCCATCTTTCTTTCCAAAATCATAACCATTTGAATTTCCTCTCCTTCCATGTCTTCTGAAATTTTGAATTGAGGATGTTCACAGTTGAAACATTTTGACTTGAGGAGGTTCAGATTACAACGGCTGTTTATAAGGGAATTTGGACAAGGACTAGGAAAAAATTCAAAAAGCTTGGGAGGTTTTTTTTACTCAGAGAGTTTTGAGGTAAAGAGGTTTTTTTCTTTTTCTTTTCAGGGTGATTCCAAAGTACCCTCTGATTTTATGCCATCGTAAAAATCATTTTTGTATGTGTCTTTGTGCAGGAAAATATGGCGTTTCGATGGTGGACGTGATGTCCTATGGCGTGGCTGCGGAAGGACAGTTGGTGCGCCTCATGTTGCCCTGTGACCGGAAGGACGTTTGGGTGAGCAAATTCTTTTGCTTGCGCAACTCTTGTTTTTTTTCTTCATGTTCAGACATATATATATATTTTTTTTTTCGAAAGTATATAAGAGGGTTGATTCATAAGTTGTGAGACTTTTTGAAATTAATCCAAAGGAGTTTCAACAATTCCGAAATTATTTTTTAACATGCCTATGCAGTAGCCCCATCATTTGGCAACACTTGAGTGTTGGCGCAAAAGAAGCATTGAAATTGGCATAGAGTGCGCTGAACAGCACTGAAGTGTTGCCAAATGTTGGGGTTGTGCGAGATACATATTTTTTGTGTGCATTGTTGAAGGTCCCTTGGATCTATTTCAAGAAGTCTCAAAACTTATGAACCATCATTTGGCAACACTTTAGTGCTTTTCAGGATACTCTGCCAATTTTAATGCATTTTTTTGTTCTCTGCACTGAAGTGTTGCCAAATGTTGGGGTTATGCAAGTGAAAAAAAACTTTTGCAGTGTTGAAACTCTTTTGAATCTATAGTGAGACCCCCACATGCAGACCCCTCAACATAGGGACATTTATTTTTCAATGAAAAAGGCATAAAAATATGAATGCTGACTCAACATTGCATGATAAAATTGCCAATGTATTTCAGGAAAATTGACTTTTTAGGCTTAATTGCAAGAAACAGGTATTACCAATCCTGAGATCCATGAAAGAAAAATTCTTTGGTATTTCTCCCATCATTTTCCCATCCATTTGGCTAATTGAAAAAATTAACTATAGTATAGAGGGACTTTTCCTTTGCTCTATGTTTATGGGACTCTATGTCTATGGGACTTGAATGTTATTTTTACAGATGCCAACATTTTAATATACTGTACAGAGGTACACTATTCAATGCTCCAAATGTTCTTATTGAGTTGAAAATATATTCACTGAATCAAATTCAAGTGTGAAAAACCTAATTTTTCATGGAATTCTGAAGAATATTTCTTCCATGAGACACCAATTAAAAATTATATAATGTGAGTCAATGGAAAAACAAGACTCAACTTACGGACATTTCCACTTAGGGACGCTCTTGATGCACCAATTACATCTACATCTGGGGGTCTCACTGTATTTAAAAAAAAGTCTTGAAACTTATGAACCAACCCTCCTGTTTGTACATGTATAATCATATATAGATTTGACCATAACCTGGGGTTCTTGTTTTTGGAATTTTTATTTCTATATAGAGTGTGCAAGACTCGTGGAAGGAATGGCTTCCGGCTGATAAGTACGTGGAAGGGTTCTCGACCTACGTCAACCTCTGGCCGTCTGTATTGCGAGTCATCATGTGGCTGACCACAGGTTAGAGCAAAATCAAAGTCTCTTTCTTTTTTATTCATGTACTGTGCTACTTTCAACTCTGCGTGGGAAACCGTTTTTTTTTTCGGTACAGTCGAATTATCGTGACTGAACAAGAAGTTAAATTTCGTGATCAGAACCCTTTCATTATTAGGTATGTAGACTTACTTGATTGCAAGCTGATGAGCAAGAGTTGTTTCATTGAGGTGCGTGACATTTGTATAAAGCCCCAAGAATGCTTTTCTAAATGTAGTCACGTTCGTATGGGATTTTGAAACACGAATATTTTATTACAGGTGTGTGTACCTTGTATAAAAATGAAGCGTCATTGTTATTATAGCTCCCTTGAAAAGAAAAAAACCAGCAGCGATTCGACTTTTTATTTCGTCGTTGATGAAATGAATTTGGGTGAGCAGCCGGAATAAGCTGTACTCGGAGACCTAAACGTGATGTTGACAACGATTTCAGATGTAGAGTGAGACCCCGAAATGCGGACACATCGACATAAGAACGATTCGACTTGCGGACAAGAATAAAAAAAAAAAATTTCTGACATTAACATCTGGACAATAACGCGACTTACAGACATTTTCCCAAGAAATTTGAAGATTTTTTTACACTTCAGTTTTGTAGAATTTTATATTCGTTGAAGAAATTGAGTTTTTCATAGTTGAAAATGCTGAAGATGAAGGTTAAGTTAGAATTACCGAAATTCATTATCAAAAACAGGCTAATTTTCTGTATCTTTTTAAAATTCATTTGATCATGTGTACTCTGTATACAGCAAAACCTGTCCTTGTTCTTTGCTTCTTCTTATGTTGAAAAAAATCAGATCCTGTGTGGTTTTCTTCTGTAAATTTATTTTCTGTGTCTTTAGGTTGATGAAAAATATTTTACTATATTTCTAAAGCTCTTTTTTTATTGAGTATTGATCTTTAGGAATAGGAGAACCAGTTAAAAATATTTTCATTGAAGTCTGTGGGAAAATGAGGTCAAAAAGATGGAAAGTGATATTTCTCTCTGCAGATGGAATAGGGGAACACATTTTTTTTTTTGTGCTGCTTGTCATGAAAAATGAAATTGAGCAAAAGTACATGTGGGACAAATAATTCTTCCTGATTTCAACTTATTCATATCTGTTTGTTCTTTGAAATAGAGGGATATTATTTCTCAAGTACTGTTCATTTGATTGAAAGGCATACATTCTCAGCAATTGGAGCTGAAGAATTTTCAAGAAGACTGTAAATGATGAGTACTATTTTGAATTCTAAATTTTATCCTCATAAACCTTTTTTCTATCACATTAAGAATTTCATTATAACAAACTTTCAAATTCTGGCACTGTATTACAAACTTTTTTGAGGACTGTTCAATTGATTCTCCAGGTAGAAATTTCCCAACTAATGCAGGCACTTTCAGAAATTTCTGATTTAAAATTTAAATGACTGGTTCTTATTTTAGCATGAATGGAAGCTGTAATCAATGAAAAAAACATGCCTCATTATCCTCCCAGAATGAAGAGATTTTCAGATCACCCTTTCAGAATGGAGATGTTGGTGCAACTGATACATGATAATTTTCTCTTGCAGAAGTTCACTCAGTTTTTCAAGCAATAATAATAAAAAACAAATCCAAGAATATATGTCAGAAAAACAAGATACTGTATAACTGATTTTATATATATTCAAGGTCTGATATGAAAATTGTTTACATCCTCCCAGAATGAAGAGATTTTCAGATCACCCTTTCAGAATGGAGTGATTGGTTCAACTGATACAAGACAATTTTCTCTTGCAGAAGTTCACTCAATTTTTCAAGCAATAATACAAATAAATCTGAGAAAAGTGAGAATACATGTCAGAAAAACAAGATCTAACAGAGAATGTGATCAGTGAATTATATTTAAAGCTCATGTGAAGATTTTCAAAAATAATGACTGGAAACAATTTTCAGATCAGGCCTTGCATATATATATCACAATAATAATCAGACTTATATATATATATATATAGGTCTGATTATTATTGTGATATATATATGCAAGGTATATATGCGAGGTCTGGTGTGAAAATTCTTTGCAGTCATTATTTTTGCGAATCTTTCGATAACGAAATATCCAATACATCACTGTAAAACCGACTCTTTCTCAATTCCCCAACAAGTTCGTTGTAAGGAGATTTTACTGTGTATAAAGTATCCTGCTGTAATGGTTGAACCGAATCGGCGCACAGGGGAAAACGTGCCCTTTTGCTGGGAACTGAATCCGCGGGAAAAGCTTTGCAATCCTTCCGGGTGTTTCGCAATTTCCGTGGACGAGGGGCTGGAAATTCTATACATACCTCTTCTGCTATTCATCCTGTAGCTCTTGTTATTTCCATCTAGATGACACTCAGAAACTATTTCTACTTCGACACTTTGCTGTAAATCCTTTGATTACATGGTTTTCTCTCTCCCTTTGGGGATGAAATTTGCACAGACACCAGAAGTTGAAGACCAATTTACAGAGCTTATCTTCTGTGTTATTTTAAACACCCTGTAGCCACAGTCATTTCTCATGCCAATTACTGTATTGTTTGCTCTGCCAAGATACAGTAATTCATGAAAATTTGATAACTGCTTTATACAGTATTTTAAAGCTGATGTTGTCTGTACTCATCTAAACCAAAATTCAACCTCAATGCCAAATGAATTGTGATCTTCAAAAATAAATTTTAATTTTAATAATAAGCATTCCCTCTGAATAGCAGGTAAACACTAGGGCTTTTTGTGGACTTGAAGTTTTTCTGATCCTGCACAGATTTTTAAGGTTGGATGTTCCAAGAAAGCTTGCAACTTTTAAGCATCAGTAGGTTTTCTCAAGCATACAAAATCATTTTAAGATGATTTTTGCTGGGTTCATTTTTCATCTATCTCCCTACCCCCATGTTTGCTAACTCAGGTTTAAAAATTTTTTTTGAAAGATAAGATGTTCAGGTGGATTTTGAAGAATGTTTGTCCTTGATTCCACCCTATGTCCCATGCAAGAACACAGGCAAACATTGAATGGGAAATTTGAGACTCTGTCTGTCTTCTTTGGCAATTCTTAGTCAAGAAATCACAACATGTTTCTCAAAAACAGTTTGTTATACAGTACTGGAATTGGCAAGATTGTTATAACAAGATTTTTATTACATGTACTTTGAAGGATTGCTGTCAGAACTTTGAAAAAAGTTTGTTCTACTGAAAAAAAAATATTGTAACAAGAGTGCACGGTATACATTTTTGGAGAAAATTGTGAGGAAACCGGCAATCACATGAGAGTCCTTTTAAAGTTTTAATATATAAAATGAAAAGAAAATCCATGACACCAAGTTTACTTTTCCATCAGAAATAATGGTTGAAGTAATTAATAAACATGTCAGTCATTATGAATTGGTTTTTTAGGGAATAAAAGAAAAAGTATTGAGCTGATTGAGGAAGGCATGAAATGTGAGCACAGTTCAACTCATTGTAGACTGTAATGAGCAGGAAAGACACAATTAAAACATAAATTCAAGATCTTCAGTTTGTGGTACTTCAAGATGTTTTTCATGTTTCAAAAACTGATCTTCAAAAATAAATTCAAGTTTAAAAACCAATTATCTGAATGAAAGGCTAACTCTAGCACTTTAAGTGGACTTCAATGTTTTCGATCAATTCCTATATACAAAGATTTGTAAGGGAATTTCCAAAGAATGTTACAATTTTCAAACATTAGTCGGATTTCACAAGCATCCAACATCTAGTATTTAGGATCATTTTATTTTTCCCAAAACCTCCTCCCCCCCATGGTTCTTACCCATGAACGCATTTTGAAAGAGAGGATGTTCAGGTGGATTTTGAAGAATTTGTGTCCTTGATTCCACCTTCCATTCATGTCCCAAGAACTATAATCCTAATTACATTTTGAATGGGAAATATGAGAATGCCTGTCTTCATTGGGGATTTTTCATCATGAAAATCACAACATGTCCCTCAAAAAAAGTTTGTTGTACTGGAATTGAAGAGTTTGTTGTAACAAGGGTTTTAAAACATAGGATTTCTGCCAAGACTTGGAAAAAAGTTTGCTATACTGGAAAATTTGTTGTAACAGTATTTGTTGTAATGAGATTATACTGAATTCAGACATGCCCAAAAAAAAAGAGCGACATCTGTCTACAGTTTAGAAGCATGTTGATGAGATTACATGTGCATCAGGAAAACTATCATTTCATATTTGTCTGCACGCAACTATCAAATCTGACTTCTGTTGATTGTTGGGCATTCTAATGCAAGTATATGACCAGAGATATTTGTCTGTTGAACTATGGAATTGCCCTTTCAACTCTAATACAGGAGAGAACTTCGGGAATGATTCTACAGTGAGACCCCAAGATGTGGACGTAATTGGTGCATCGAGAGTATCCCCAAGTCAAAATGCCCCTAAGTCTAGTCTTATTTTCCCTTAGACTTACATTATATAAATTTTAATCGGTGTTTAATGTACAAAATACTCATCAGAATATCATGAGAATAAAAATTGTCTCCCAATTTTAACTGATCCCAATCAATACATTTCAACACAATATGGGCATTTGGGGAATTTAATAATGATATCTCTGTACAGTACATATAACTGTTGGCATTCTCTGTTTAAAAAAAAAAACATTCAAGTGAAAAAGAGAGAAGGAAGTCCCTCTCTGCTGGAGGTAATTTGTTTCAATTAGCAAAATGGATGGTAAAATGGTGAGAGATATGCCAAAGAACTTTTCCTACATCAATTTTAGGGTTGGGAATATCTGTTTCTTGTAATTTGGCCTGAAATGTATTTGCAATTTTATAACAAAATGTCCCCATGTTGAGTCAGTGTCCTCATTTTGGGTCATTGTTATGAATTTTTTTATGATAAAATAAGTGTCCCTATGTTGAATTGTCCGCAGGTCGAGGTGTCCGCATGTGGGGGCCTCACTGTATATGAGATATATAATGGTTTGGAAAAATCAGTCGCCCGTTTCTTTTCGAAGTCGGCAAAGTTCATATTCTTATTTCTGCCCCCCCCCCATTTTTTTTGAAAACTGGACTGGCCTTCGGCTATAATCCCACCACTCCTCGATCGCTCTTAAACTGCAGAATAAAATTGAAGAAAAATAATATTTAAAAAAAAGGTGGACTTGATTATGTTTCGGAATTACGGAACTCGGCCTTCGAGGACCGCGTGGACGCGTTTCGTCATCATCATCGTCATCCGTGAGATCAGTAGGACGTTGCAATGACCATCATTACACATTGGTCAGTGGACTGTGTGTGTGTGTGTGTGTGTGTGTTGTGTGAAAAAATGTTGTCTATCTTTTTATTCGTCCTTCTTCGTCTGCTTTATCTGTGCTGCCTAAAGGAATTGCGCAGGGAATGTTGACAATATAAGCAGGAGCACCATGTGACCTGGCAACATGGGAACAAAGTGTCGAAATGAGTTTCTTTCTGATGACAAACTCGTCCTGGGAGAAATACAAGTACTGTACTGTACTTGTAGTGTACAGCCAAGCCTGGATTCAGTGTCACTATTTTTCTTGGCACGGTTGGTGTTGCTAAGCTCTAAATTGTTCATTCAACTAAACCTCATCTGGGAACAGGCTGAAGACCTTGTGCTTTAAATTGGGTTGAGTAAACTGCTGCAATTGCTATAATTCTGGCTTATGCTGCAATTCTTGTTGCTGATATTTTGTTTTCAATGTCAGGGAAATAAGAAGGGGGTGTACACATACACATCAGTTGTGCAGTTGTAAATTGTGGAATGTATTTGCTATTTTTTTTGGTACAGTTTCATATACAGCTTAATTTCTCTGTTTCCCATTCTGATTTGATTGAATGCATCTGAATGGATTTGGGTTGGGTGAGGAAGGGGTTTGGATGAAGGAATGTTGATTGAACGTTGTGAATGCTGAAAAGCAGAAAATGAAGCTTTCTGTTCTTTCATTCATTCAGTTGCTAAACAAGGGTAGTACAGTCAACCCCCGTCTAATGGACTTGATTTGTGCAAGGGACAAGTCTGTTAGACAAAAAGTCCTTTAATTACACAGGAGGTCTGTTAGGCGGGGGGCCACTGTACTGTAAAATGAGGGCAATGTTAGAGAGGAAGGTTTAGGGGTTTAATTGAAGATTTCTATTATAAACAAAATAGGAGTGTTACAAAAATTAAATTAATTCATGGACAATAAATTAGGATTTTTGAATCCTTTTTTTGACTCAAAGGCTTGTGCATATCACTGAGATTAGAATCTTGGGTGAATGTTTTCAAGATTCTCATTATCAAATAAGGAAAACTTGGGTTTTGAAGAGTGGGAATATCTCAAGAGCTGTAAATTGGATAAAAAATGTTACATGATCACAAGGAGGTGTTGAAAATTCAACACCTTCAGCTTCAATTTGAGACCTTGTGGAATTTTCTAGGTTTAAAATTTGCAGTTCTGCGATTTGGTATTTTAAAAATTATTGGGAGTAGTGCCATATGCAAAGCATTTTGTTTGGGGGCTTTATTTTTTTTTTAAAGCAGGTTTTCATTTTTTTTATTTTACCATGCAAGATTTTATTTGCTGATTGTGTGTGATTCTTTCTTTCCTGAAACCTGTGATGAGAAAACAATAGCCCTCTTATAACATCCAAGAAGTCAGGAAGCTCCAGTTTTTTTTACAGCCATAAATGTAGATTTATAGTTTGAATAAAAATTGCATAGAGTCTGTGTAATTGCCTAATTAAGGCTCAGATGTTCACCAATCACAATTCCCTGCAATTCTTCCCTGTTTCTTGTACAAAAAATGCTTGTTTCTGTAGCTCAAAGCCTTGCTAACAAAATTGTTTGCTGGTCCCTTGAAGTTTGACCTGAAGAGGTTTGAGTTTAGAGTCATTTTTATTTTCTTCCATATGGGTCTCCATACCTATATTATAGATATTCTCTGCAAAAAAAGTATCTCTATAACATTGATTTTCTAGTCCCCTGAATTTTGTTGTATAAAGAGTCCATCTGTAATGTATTTGAGCAACAGGGGGATGCATGTTTTCAGTCAGAGGACTTTTTGACTTATTCCAGAGGAAGGGTGCCTGTTGGCTGACATTAGCCAAACAGTCACATGACAAGGGGTTTTCCCAAACTTTCCAAATTTTATCTAAGGCTTGGAGCACAGAGCAGCAGAAAAATTTGCCTGCTCCAGCAAAATAAAACCATCTGCTCTCAGGTATTTGCTATGCTCCAAGTCCCTGCAAAAAATCAAAGAAAAAGTACAGGACATGCAATACAGTACTTTGTCCAGATAATTGATAATAATTAAAAAGCGCAAAACTAATATGTTCTGGAGAATAAATTTGGTCAAATTTATAATGATATTCATTTTAATATTTGTGAATATGAATAGCTCAATTTGCTCTAGATATATCCAAATTTTGAAAAATAACATTTCTTCATTCTGCTAGATATGTTGCATAAGTGTCCATATTTCCAAACATTATTGTCCTGATGTTGTGGCAGTTTTTTTTTTTTTTACACTTCAAGCGTCCCTGAGCCAAATTGCCTGTACTGTGTCCTTATAGGGTCACTCTGTGCAGTGATGGGACCCCAAGATGCTGACATAATTAGTCCTATGATCTTTTCCATGTATAGTAGTGGATCAATCACATGTCAGATCTCGGTTTTCCATGGCCCTCAATGCAGACATATTTAATTGGTTCTCTTGTTCATGAGAAATTATAGGAATAAGTCCCCTGAAAAGGAGAAAAAAATTTTGTTTCTGTCAACTTCAAGATACCAAACAACTGTGCTGAAGAAAATTACATACAATCTGATTTTTTGACAACAAAACAGGCTTCAAAAGCTGAGAACAAGAATAAATCTTGCTATAATGTTAACAGATTATGGAGAAACTGCTGGAAAAAATAAGTACAGAAACAGCCTGTTTTTTTATTATCAATTACAGTACAGTAAATTTTTGATGAAATGTATTTTCAATTTTTAACAAATAAATACTGTAGCTCAATTTGACCAAGAGACACCAGACTTTAAAAAAAATTTATTTTATTTTCTGGAACATTTTGGCAAAGTATCCTTATCTGCAGTAGCCATCGGCATCCAGACGCTGCGGCACTTTTTTTTTTACATGAGTTTCAAGCGTCCTTCAGTTGAAATGTCCGTATGTTGGGCGGGTGTCCGCATGTCAGGTTTCTCACTGATATTTTCATTGCTTAATTGCTCTGTGCAGGCACCCAGTATTTGCCGTTGTTCACCCAGGAACCCTGTGCCACAAGTGGTGACGATGGAAATGAGGAGAATGCCAAGCGGAAATTCCCGGTCGTCGTCTTTTCCCACGGCCTGGGCCAGTGTCGCAGTTCCTATTCAGTCCTGTGTTCCCACCTGGCGTCCCACGGGTTTGTGGTTGCGGCAATTGAGCACAGGTACATTAGTATACATATACTGTATACTCATTTATTATACTGTACCAACAGTTCACTCAANTTGTGCAATGAAGGAAAGTACTGGACGCTATTATAATAAATACTGGTACTTATTCTGTGCCGCCAAAGGCGTACAAAAATGTGTGTGTCATGTCTTATTCCTCATCAAGAATCTATCCTGATTTATATTATTAAATGCAGTGAGACAAGATGCGGATATAATTGGTGCATCAAGAAAGTCCTGATGTTGGAATGTACCCAAGTCAAGTCTCATTTTATCTTAAATTTCAATGCTAATGTATTCAATTGGTTCTCGTTTTTGTCATAAATTAGAAATAAGTCCTTAAAAAATTCAATTAAAGTAGTTCCCTCAGCTTCAAGTTTTTGAAAACAACAGTGCAGAACAAAATCACATAGAATCTTATCTTTTGGTATCAAAAGGAGATAAAAAAGCAAAGAAAAACAATAATTCTTGCTATGTAATATGCACAGATGATGGGAAAAAAACTCTGAGAAATGAAGTACAAAATCAGCTTGCTTTTTGATGATGAATTATAGTGAATTTATCATGAAATATTTTTTTTCCATTTTTGTGAATATAAATACTGTACCTTGATTTCTTCAAAAGATGGAGAATGAAATGTTTTGATTTTTTTGAAATTTTCAGAAAAGTGTCCCTAACTCAAGCCAATGTCCAGATGTATGGCCTGATTTTTTTCAAGTGTCCCTAAGTTGAATTGTTCTTTTGTTGGGGTGTCTGCATATATTGGGGTCGCACTGTATTTCCTTTTTGGCCTGATGAGTGCCTGCTAAACATTCCCGAGATGTGCAAGTTACCAGACATCAGATGAAAAAAGTATGGTTCTTTCTTCTTTTGAAAGGGTCTAAATGCAATTCACTTGAACCAAGATTTTTGTCCTTCAGTAAGTGGGCACAAGTGATATTGATGGACGTGCGAGTGTTGAAATTGAGCAAAGAAAAAAATGGAGGTCATGTGTAACGTTTAACTCAATGTGAACACATCTGAAAATTAAGGTTATAAAATTTGTTTTTGTATGCAGTAAAATCTTGTGACAACAAACTTGTGGGGACTTTGGAAAAAGTTTGTTATAACAGATTATTTTTTATATACAGATTTTCAATATTTTTGAGTGATGGGAAGATTTTCTGAAAAATACACCTGAATAGTTTCAACATATTCCTTTTTTGGCTTTTCCATATGTTTCTCATTATTTTAAAAAACTGATATTTTCAAAAAGAAATTTATATGTTAATAACAAACAATTAATCTGAATAAATGGTGTACATAAGCACTTTTTGTTGAGTAAGGTTTTGTAAGCAACTCCTGAACAGATTTGTGAGGGTGGATGTTCCAAAAAAGCTTACAATTTTCAAGCATCAGTATTGTTTCTCAAGCATATAGAAACCCTTTTTAATATTAATTTTGTTGTGTTCATTTTTCTGTCATTGTTCATCAAGAAATCCCAACATGTTCCCAAAACAAGTTTTTTATACTGGAATTGGTGAGTTTGTTATAAAAATATTTTTATAACATGTACCTTATTGGATTTCTGCCAGGACTTTGAAAAAAGTTTGTTATTCTGAAAAATGTGTTGTAATGATATTTGTTGTAACAAGATTTTGCTGTAGTGGAAAAAAATGTGCAAGAGGACAAATATTTACTCATGGTAATGCTCATTATCCTAAACAACATTTTCATAGCATTTACCCTATTCAATTTCTGCCAGGACTTTGAAAAAAGTTTGTTATACTGAAAAAATTGTTGTAATGGTATTTGTTGTAATAAGATTTTACTGTATTGTGCAAAAAATGTGCCAGAGGAAAAATGGTGTCACTATACATCAGAGATTGATTTGCAGTGATGCTAATTATCCAAAAAGAAAAAAATTTATAACATGTTCCCTATGAATTTCTGCCAGGACTTTGAAAAAAGTTTGTTATACTGAAATATTGTTTTAATGGTATTTTTCGTAACAAAATTTTACTGTAGTGCAAAAAAAGTATGTGCCAGAGGACAAATGGTGACTCTATACATCAGAGATTGACTTGTGGTAATGCTCATGATCCTATAAACAATATTTTTATAACATTTACCCTATGGGATTTCTGCCAGGACTTTGAAAAAAGTGAGTTATACAGTACTTCAAAATTTGTTGCTATGACATTTGTTGTAACAAGATTTTACTGTAGTGCAAAAAAATGTGCCGGAGGACAAATGATGGCACAAAACACCAGGGATTGACTCATGGTAATGCTCATTATCCTAAACAATATTTTCATAACATGTACCCTATGGGATTTCTGCCAGGACTTTGAAAAAAGTTTGTTATTTTGAAAAATTTGTTGTAATGGTATTTGTTGTAACAAATTTTACTGCAAATAAAATGTGCCAGAGGACAAATGGTGGCACTACGCATCAGGGTTTGACTTGTGGTAATGCTCATTATCCTAAAAAATAATTTTATAACATGTACTCTAAATCTAACATGTTACACTATAAAAAATTTGTTGCAATGGTATTTGTTTTAACAAGATTTTACTGGATAATGCAAAAAAATATTTGCCAGAGGAACAAATATGGTGGCACTATAGACTATACATCAGGGATTGATTTGCGGTAATGTTCATTTATATTCCAAACAATAAGAACAATGTATTCTTCTTCTTCTTTTAATGAACCCCTCTCTCTCTCTCTCAAAAAAAAATCAGAGACGGTTCCGCATGCATCACTCCGGAAGCCGTGGAAGCGGAAGTGGCGCCCTTCCTGCTGACGTCATCGCCCATCACACCCCGCCAAGGCAGTGACGATGATGATGCTGCTGCTGATAATAATAGTAATCCCGTCGACGACAACGACAACAACAACGATGACCTGTCGCTGTGGACGAACCCTGGCCTGCGATGGATGCCCTACACCCGCGTCGGGCCCCAGTTGACGGAGCAGACGTTGAGGACGTCGCAGCTGCGCCAGCGGGCCGACGAGGTGTCGCGGTGCGTCGAGTTTCTCCGTCGGCTCAACGACGGCGTGCTCAAGCGGGACTCGTTTTATGCCCCGAGGCCCGGGGACTCGGCCAAGTGGGGCGTGTTGCGGAGTTTGGCGGGGCGGCTGGACATGTCCCGGCTCCTGCTCAGTGGACACTCCATGGGCGGCGTGACGACCATGAAGGTGCTGTCCAAGGAGAACGACTTGTTCAGGTATAGGTACCCCATATCAACTCTGCTGCTTGCTGGGCTTTTTTTTT